GCAGCATCAGAGGAGCAGGAAAGCTGATGTTTCGGGTCTAGACCCTTTTTCTGAAGAAGGGTCCAGACCCGAAATGTCAGCTTTCCTGCTCCTCTGATGCTGCTTGGCCTGCTGTGTTCATCCAGCTCTACACCTTGTTATCTCAGAGGCTAGTGATAATTGGGTATATCGGTTTGGTAAGCTGTGACTAATAATATGCCACGAGGATCAGTGCTGGAGCCTCAAATATTTACAATCCACATAAAAGACTTTTAAGTGACCAAATATATGGCTGAATTTGTCAATGACATTAAGATAAGTAGAAAGTAAATTGCTAAGAGGAGGTAAGTCTATAAAGGTTCAGTGAGCAGTAAAGCTTTGACAGACGGAGCATAATGTAAAAAATGTGAACTTGTCAACTATTGGCAAGAAGAAGAGAAAAATGGCAGAGCGTAGTATTTAAATGGAGAGAGATTGCAGAACATGGTGGTACAAAGTGGTATTATAATTTCACCTTGTCTTTTTTAAATGGGCATCTTCTGATTTTTAAATATTGACTGACTGCAAGGCCTTGATTCTCCTATAAAAGAAAACAGCCTCTCCAGTTCTAACCTCAATAAAAAGTAATGTCCAAGCCTGATAGTGTGGGTGCTTGGAAAATTTGAAGGAAGAATTTCTGCTCCTTTTGCCCCACATGGAGTGCTCTTAGGTAGATGTCTTCTTCTCAAAGTTGTTCTCAATTTACTACATCTGTTAGATTTCCTGAAGCACAGAAACCCAATCAGCCACTGTTAAATCTTCAAAGTTTAACCTGAGACTTCTAGCCACATTAGCATTTTAAAATACTAGTCACCTGTTGAAAGTGACTGCCACCTGAGTAAAAGCTAGAACCCATCTTTTATCAGTAACTTAATAGAAGTCAATAACATGAGCTTTCACTGTTTATATAGAAAGTCTGAAGTGCCATAAGTTACCTATATGAGAAATACTCAACTGGTCTCGTAGCATCTAGAAAGAGAGGGAAAGAGTTAACATCTCAGATCAACAAAACTTCTTTCTTCTCTAGCATCAACTTGCTATCTCAAAACTGTCCTGGTCCGCACTTCCATTTCATTCACTGTCTTATTGAGCTTGGGGTAGCGGGGGGAATAATGAAAGTATTCTCATTTCTTTCAGCTGTGAAGGAGCGCAAACTTATGATTACCTACATGCTTCCAAATCCTTCTTCCCTTCACTTTCCACTCATTCCATTCATTCTTCCAATCACATCCTTGCTGCTTTTTCATAATTCCCTCTGACGCTGTCCTCAGTTCTCAGGTTTGTTCCCTTTACACTGTGCTTGAGTACATCTAGACTTAAGAACAATACCGAACACTCCTTCCTATGCTTCATATCAACACCCACTTTGCAACCAGGAGTCTTCACACACAGAGAAGCCCTGTTCCTCCTGTTTCAGGATTCACCTTCCACCTGGATCTCTCCGTCTAACCTTGTATCCTATCTCAATCTTTTCATTTGAGTACTGCTTTCTTACCTCCGTCCGTACAGATTCTACATCATTCAATCCAAGATTTCTAGCTATCTTACTTATTCCATCTTGTATTGACAAAGTTACTGCACCAGCCTTCCCTTTTCTCTTCATGCTTAACCTTCTGAAAATCACACACCTTTGAATATTTAGTTCTCAATTTTGATCTCCTTGTAACATTGTCTCCCTAATGGCTACAAGATCATATCCATTAACCCCTATTTGTGCCAGTTCACTTGTTTTGTTCTGAATACTATGTGCGTTTGAGTAGTGACTAATTTAATTTTTTTTTAACCATTTATCCCCCTATGACTCTATTTACTGCTGTTTTCTTTTGTCTGTACACTTTGTCCCTTCCTACCCTACTGTGGATACTGTTATCAAAATAGTTGCTTTGCAATGCACTCCTATCCTTTTGCTTTGTAAATCTGGATGTTCTCCCCACTTCCCCCAAACTTTTCCCGATCTAATCAGACAAAATCCCTCTTTATGTCCTTAATTATTCAATTCACCTGGACACTGATTCCATCGTGGTTCAAATGAAGCCAACTGAGACAGCTCTTTTCTACTCTAATCCACATGGTGCCAGTGTCCCATGAACCAAAATCCATTTGTCCCATGCCAATCTTTAAGCTACATATTTAATTCCATTACTTTATTTACACTGAGGTGGTTTCTCTGTGGCTGAAGTAGATCTTTGCAACTGTGAATATTCAGAGAATTTCTGTCACTTGTACATTCCAGGGCAAGTCCTAATCTAGCATTTGCACTTCCATCAGATTTATTGTGGTGGCAGGAGTGTGCTAGAAGGGCTGAGGAAGTTGCTAAAGTGACATAGATGTTTATCTTAGAAGATTAGAAATTTCAGCTCTAAAATAATTGCATTATAACTTACTCAGTCCTGTACTTGATCACCCATGTTATTAAATAGTGTGGACGGAACCAGATTGTCCTTCAGCAAACCTATACCTTGGTTGAAAGAGCATTCAGCATATCGTCACGTAATGCAGAGATTGCAAATGAACTTGGCTATCAGATGGTGTTACAAGGAAAAGTAAAAGAAGCTGTGAGATGGTACAAAACTGCGATGTCACTGGATGAATCAAGTGTTCCTGCGTTAACTGGTAAGACTTCTTTAAAGTTTTATTTTTTTTATATCCAAGGGCAACAATTTTTAAGAGCCTTGGTTCGTTTGATGTAATGATGGCTATACAGTTTGTTTCTTTCAGACTCCAAGGGAAGATTTTAAAATCAATGTTTTCTAAATTGGGGGCTACAAATTTGCATTGTTGTCCCGACCCTGGATACTGGCCCAAGTTTTGAACTTTCTTGCGGGTAGTTTGCAGTGAGTGAGATTTTTTAAAAAATATTGTCTAAGTTTGTTTCAACTTGATTTGCCAACTGCCAGTGACGTCTATTGCAATACATTTTGAAACCAATAACAGAAAGGTAATTGACTTTTGGAAAGGATTACATGACATGATTTCAAGTTTTTTTTGAGCCAAATCTTCTGGCCTCATTTAAGTCCTCAGGCATTTGGTCACTTCAATCTGAGCACAAACTCCCAGTGAAATACTGTTTGGCGAACAATAGAACAGCCGCTACCTCTCTAGTCTGTCTTTAAGATTCTTGTAGGGTGACCTCCTTTCTGTGATCCTCAGTTCTGAGGAACGGTCACCGGACCCGAAACGTTAAGTCTGATTTTTCTTTTTTTCTTCACAGATGCTGCCAGACCTGCTGAGGTTTTCCAGCAACTTTGTTGTTGTTCCTCATTTACAGCATCAGCAGTACTTTCGGGTTTTCTCTTTCTGTGATGGTCAGCGATGTTTAAGAAATCTCTGTACATCAACACTGCACTGCTTAAGTCTTCAAGTCCATCTCCATAGCAATGTGTATCAAATGGGCCTTGTATCTGGGTAGAAATGCTACTGACATATGTTCTAGACAACCCCTCCCTATCCCCCACATCCTCCAACTCTCTAACTGCCAACTCCATTCTGTCTTGGAATTAAATAGTTTAAAATGTAACTTCACAAAATTTGGCATTCCAACACCACCTCATGAAACTTGGAGAGTGAAGTCCAGATTTTCAGGGAAGTGTGAACTCCAGAAGTTAAAAACCACTTACAATGGCTTGATATTTATCCATCCAAAACACCCGAAGTCCTTCAACTGACTTATTCTTATCCTTCATATTATCAGCCGTCTCAAGTTTTCTGTTTTCATCTTTTAAGTTCTCCTTAGTGTTTTGTTTGCACATTTCCTGTTGTTTTATTACATTCTGTATTTATAGAATGGAAATTCTGGTTCTTGAATTAGCGTAGATCTGTTGAGAACCTTGTAGTTGATTACCCGAAAATCCTGTATCCAATATATATAAAATTATATGGAAGTACTTTTAGCGAGTGGTAAATTAATCTTGAATATCTTTATAATTCAAGGTATTATAAGATGCCAACTAACTGAGGGACAACTAGAAGATGCAGAACAACAGTTGGAGTTTCTTAATGAAATTCAACAATCTATTGGAAAATCTGCGGTAACTCATCTTTGTTCTTGATGTTTGATTTCAGTTGTACTTAATCGCTAAACAATAGTCCACCATTTTCACATACAATGTTCTTGCCAGTCTGTCTGTAGGCACTTTAGCATCCACTAGGCCAGCATTTCTTGTCCATGCCTAATTGCCTGGAGAGAAGTTTAAGAATCAAATACTTTGCTGTGGGTCTGGAGTGCCATGTAGGCCAGGCTACATAAGGATGGCAGATTTCCTTCCCTTCAGAACATTACTGAACTAGATGAGTTTTTAACAATAATTGGCAGTGTTTGCATAGTCGCCATTAGGCCTCCTTATTGCAAGTTTTTTATTGAATTCAAATTTCACTATCTGCCATGGTGGGATTTGAACTTATGTTTCCAGAACATTGGTCTGGAATCCTGGATTGCTAGTCCAATGACATTACCATTGTGCCACTAACTTCACAGATTAATATCAGATATAAATAGATGATTAAATACATATTTTCATATCATTTTTCCATATAAATATTTAGGGCTTTCGTGAGACCAAAACGTTCAAGATTATTAAGCTATGGCTGTAGATGTTGCAGATCTATAGATCTCTCAAATTGTGACCTGCTAATTTAGCAGTAATGTGCACATGCAGCCAGTTCTCCAGCCAGATGTTGTCCTGACCTCATCCAATTGCCTATGCTTTGTTAGGGTAAACATATTACTACAGCTTACCAGCAGGTGCCTCCTTTGCAGGATGTCATTAAAATAGTGAATTCAAATCTCTCGTGCTGTAGGAACCATGTGGTTGATGACAGAAATTCCTGAAACCTAGGTTTTTTGATTTAATTGCAAATACAGATAAAAATTAATTGCGGCAATTTCCACCATGAATCTACTCTTGTTCCCTTTTGCTTTGGTTGTGTCTCTTAAAGAAATTCTGTGAAATTTTACTGCAAACAGGTTCTAAAAAGAGCTAGTTGTACAATTCTGTATGCAGCTGGTAGCTAAAGCAAATAACATAACATCCTACATCAAGTCTCACAATTTCTATATTTGCTGGAAAATTGCATTTATACAGCACACTATTAATGTGCTAAAAATCCAAAAGTGATATTGATAAATGATAATGATAAGCAAATCTTTGGAGAGATAACCAAAGACATCATTTAAGAGACTATATTTTTGTAAATTTTTGAAGGTGAGGATTGATTGAGGTCAAGGTAGATAAGACTGTGTTCTACAAGAAACCAGCAAAAGTACTGGTAAATGAAAGGCTCATATTCCAAGGAAGTGTCTTAGACAAAGTGAAAATGGCCTTTGTGAACAGACCTGAATAGTGACAAGTAAAATGCATTAGTGGTAGTGGGACTGGAAGAATTACAAAGATTTTGTTCCATATTTCAATGTTAATATAAAGAATGCAAATCATTTTGAAAATCATCAATATTTTGACATTTAATTTAGAATAGTTGATTGCAAAAAAGGCAGTAGTGATATAAATTAGAACTTTAACTCTACAAACAATGACATGGACAATTGAAATGTCAATCACTTCAGGGACATTGAAAATGTTCACTGAGGAAGAACTTTTATTTATTTGTATATTGCTTTGATATATCTTAGATAAAAGTCTCATGCCTTATAAAATGTGCAATTGTTGAAGTGAGTCACTGTGTTACACAATGAAATTGTTTAAGCTTACACTAAATAAACGTTTGAAATACATCTCCACTAACGAACAGTCAGGTACTTGGTTAGAAAGCAGCTGTTCCCCTTAGTTGAATGTTCAAGAACAAGAGGGCACACTATTTTAAAGTGAAAGGCAGAAATTTTAGAGGGGAATTGAGGAAAAATCTTTCCACTCAGAGTGGGAGGAGTCTGTAATGCACTGCCTGGGAGGGTAGTTGAGGCTGGTAACCTCACAATCTTTAAACAGTACTTGGATGAGCACTTGAAGTGTCATAGTCAAGGCTATGGGCATCATGCGGAAAAGTCAGACTGGTGTAGGTAGTGATGTATTTTGGCAATACAGACTTGATGGGCAAAAGGGCCTCTTTTGTACTGTATTGTTCTAAGTACTTTGCAAAATAATGGAATGCAAACTATTGTTGACTGTAAAGCATGTAGCTGCTGAAAAATCCTTTCGTATGCAAATAAAACAATTTTCTAAACTAAGCTATTTATATTGAGAAGCAGAGGCTGGTGAATGGCTTTTGGTAGGTTGTCCCCTTTTTGATGTTGGGTCCCTCAATTAGGTACTGAATGCTTTTGAAAGAGGGACCTAACCCTGGAAGCCTAGAAGCATACACTCCAGGATTTTCTTGTCATGTTCCCCTCATGACAACTCCAACCATGAACATAATTGGGGTGGAGACAAGGAGGCAATGGGATACTCACGTCCATCCTCCTGCCTGATTAAATGTCCTTCCACCGCAAGCTTACCACAAGATTCCCCTTAAAGACTTGCATAATTAGGGATCTCTGGTGGATCAGAACACCTAAAGCAATGTACTTTTGAAGTGCAGTCTCTGCTGTAATATAGGAAATGCAAATTTATAACAACCATCTCCCCATATGCAGCAACATGATAATGATCAGGTAATAAAAGTTGGTATATTGATTAAACAATAAATATAAGCCCGGACACCCACTCTTTGAAATAATGCAATGATGTCATTTACATCTACCTAAAAGGGCAGATGGGACTTCAGTTAACTATCTCAACAAAAAGATAGTACCTCCTCAATTTCAGTTGCAATCCATGCCATTGTTTGTACTTGCAGTTTAGTGAATCAGTTATCAATTATTATTTGATTACCAATTCACATTCCCTGCAGTCCAGGGAACTATGGCAGCTCTGCTTTCTGGGATGTGGGAAATTTAAAACTTTAAATATGCTGGTTTAACTAAGTACTGACAGCAAGGTGACTTGTAACAACGAGCTTGACTGAGATAAACTCAGTCACCTCAGATGTAAGGACCGTTACAACCTCGTTGTTATGATTAGGAGAGTGATTGGTTCCTCTGCACCTATGAATCATTGCTTAATCCGTTCGCTAATATTACTCAAAACTTGAAAACAATTGTGGTTTAAAATTGTTACTTCCACTGCTCCAGAGGTGTGTAATAACATTTCTGAACAGACTGAGTTAGAAATATCTGTCCTTCCTTAAGGGACTCGTGACGTGCAGTGGTAATTCCCTAGCTCAGGACCAGAAGGCCTGAGTTCAAGCCCTATCTGGTCCAAAGATGTGTCATAACCTGTCTGAAGAGGTTGATTGAAAGTATCTATCTTTCCTTAGGTGAAGAGACCTTTATGATTCACTATTTGCATCTGAAACATAAGCATTATTAATCAAAAAATCCTGCGTATAAAAAGAAATGTCTGCTCAGATAGAAAAAGGAAATCCAATCACTTGCATCTTTATTTTCCAGGAACTGTCATTCCTGCGTGCAGTTTTGGCTGTGAAGAAACATAAGGGGCAGGATGAAGTAATTCATTTCCTAAATGATGCTATTGACATTCATTTCTCCACATTGCAAGGCCTGCCTCTGGGAGTTCAGTACTACGAAAAGTTAAATCCTGACTTTCTATTAGAAATTATGCGTGAATATCTTGTCTTCTGTCCCACACAGGTAAAAGTTCAATGTTAAATTAACATTTACTGAAATAGATTCAGAAACATAAGAGATGCCTATATTGTGAATCTGTTGTGGATCTAAAATTTAAAAGGAGTAAGATTGTCAGAGCAATTTTTTTAAACTGATCCTGTTGTATAATTTTAAGTCAAATAGTTGATAAGATGAATGAAATTTTAAGTAATCATGAGGCAAAAATGTCAGTGTTCATCATGATTACCTTTCTACAAGAGACAGCAACTTTTGGAGTGTGTGCAGTTGAAATAGATGGAACCAAATGTTGCTGTCCCTAACTCTGTATTTCTCTATCGTGGGAGCTGTTGATGTTCCTCAGATTGAAATCAAGTAGAATCACTGAACGGAGTTGTACTATCAGTTTTATTGTAGAAATGCTTAGGGGGAAAAGACTACATGCACCTTTCATGAATAAGAAGCAACTGGGTTTTTTTAACAAAATTCTGTATTTTTGAACTTTTTAATTTTGTTTTTGTGCATGCCTCGTTCATGTACTGGTCTCTCAGTAAAATTTTGATAGCAGTGAAGGATATTGATACATTTTACTTTCTGGTTTGCTGTATGTGAGTCTGTTTCGGTGTAATTGGCTGCTTATCCTGCTTAATGACATGCATGTTCTTGGATGCTCAAAAATTACCATGGCTTGACACCAGATTCAAACTAGTATTCAAAAAGGCGAAATCTGTGCTGCAAAGATTGCTAAATGGCTTTCTTTGAGGTCAGGAGTGAGCACCATCACTTCGCTGCAAACCACAAAATCCAGATCACAATATGTTTTATACTCTTGAAAGTAACAGTTACCGAAACATAATTTTGAAATAAGTATTTTTTAATTGTTTGGAGTTGACAAGAAACTAAGAAATGTTTTATTTTCCAAATCAACCTGTTCAGAGTTGTTGTGATACACCTCAAGCAAGCATTTAACATCAGCTTCCTGGCCCAGCGGTAGTGACACCACCACTGTGCCACATTATCTCTCAATTAAGAAAAAGGCAGATGGAACTTCAGTTAAATGTCTCAATACAATGATGGCATCTCCTTAATTTAAGTTAGAATATATGCCGTTGTTTGCACTTGCAGTTTGGTGAATCAGTAATGATGATTGAAAACGGGAATTATCTTAAATTGTTGCCAATGAATTGAGATGCTTTCTGTTGCTATTCTCTGAGAGACAATGGTATATACATAGACAGAGATACAGTGGAGACACTTAGAGCACCATAAAACTCAATTGATTTATAAAGTAGTCAAACAAATAACACACACTTTCAACAACAAGAGGTATCTCAATCTCTGTTTTTCACTACCCTGGGTTCTATAACTAACTCCAAACATTAATACCTGGGAGAGTCAGCAGCCAGCTAGGCTGAAAGTCTTCATGACGTCTTCAACATTCCTCCTGACGTAGGGTACCCCATGCAGAGTGATTCTTTGAAGTTCTGCTGAAGAAAGTATTCTTCTCATGCTCTTTACACACTGACCTCTGTGCCAAGTGTATGCCTTATTTGGAATTATCCATGATAGTGACCAATCCTAAATGTTTCGTCCAAATCTATGCCTTCTTTGATAGAGACAGCAGTTACTGATTTCCTGCAATCTTAGCTCTTAGCAGTCCTGAATGACTGACTCAGCATAATTCCACTGACATAACTGCCCGTTGTAAAACCTCTTATCAGTTCCTGTTATCTTCAGCCTTATCCAACATTTCCATAGTAAAATAAAGAACTGTAGATGCTGGAGATCGGAAACACAAACAAAGAAGTACTGGAGAAACTTGGCAGATCTGGCAGCATCTATGGAGAGAGACACAGAGTTAATGCTTTGAGTCCAGTGACCCTTCTTAAGAACATTCTGTCTTTCTAACTTTCTGTTTTTATTTGAGATGCTTTCTCTGTTGACAGGCAATTCTTCTCTATCTTGTTGAATTCCATTTATTCTAACCTGAATAAATGGAGTCAGATAAAGGGTAAAAATCACCAAGCTGTTTAACTTTATGTTGAGTTATTCAGAATGCCATCTAAAAGGGTAATTAAAGAATATTAAAGCCAGTACTACTTTTAAGAGCTTAGTCTATACGGTACAGGAGCAGAATTAGGCCATTCAGTCCATCCGGTCTGCTCCTCTATTCAGTCGTGGCTAATATGTTTCTCAACACCGTTCTCCTGTCGTCTCCCAATAACTCTTGATCTCCTTAGTAATCAAGAGCCATCCTATCGCTGTCTTACATGTACTCGATGACTTGGTCTCCACAACCCTCTACAGCAATGAGTTCCACTGATTAGCTACCCTCTGGATGAGGGGGAATTCCCCCTCATCTCCATTCTGAAGGGTCGTCCCTTCACTCTGAGGTTGTACCCTTGGGTCTTAGTCTCTGCTAATATCGAAAATATCTTCTCCACGTACATTATATCCAGGCCTCTCATTAGTCTGTAAGTTTCAATCAGATCTCCTCTCCTTGTTCTAAACTCCATCAAGTACAGACCCAGAGTCTTCACTCCCTCCTTATGTGACAAGCCCTTCATCCCCAGGATCGTTCTTGTAGCCCTCCTTTTCACCCTGTCCAAAGCCAGAGCATCCTTCTTGGATACGGGGCCCAGAACTGCTCTCAATACTCCATATGCAGCCTGACCAGATCCTTATACAGCCTCAACAGTACATTTCTGCTCTTGTAATCTAGCCCTCAAAATGAATGCCAACATTGCATTTCCCTTCCTACCCACAGACTGAATCTGCATGTTAACCTTAAGAGATACCTGAACTAGTCTTCCAAGGTCCTTTGTGCTTCAGATTTCTGAAGCTTTTCCCCGTTTAGAAAATAGTCTACGCCTCTTCTTCCTACCAAAGTGCTTAACCTCACATTTTCCTGCGTTGCATTCCACCTGCCACTTTTTGCCACTTACCTAGCCTGTCCAAGTCCTTCTGCAGCCTCCCTGCTTTCTCAACACTACCTGTCCCTCCTCCTATTTTTGTGTCAACTGCAAAATTAGCAATGATGCCCTCAGTTCCTTCATCCAGATCATTAATGTATAACGTGAATAGTTGTGGTCCCAACACTGACCCCTGCAGAATTCCACTAGGCACTGGCTACCATCCTGAAAAAGTCCCTTTGCTAGTCAGCCAGTCTCTTTGCCATGCCAGTTCCTTGCCCCTATCACCCAAGGTCTCGTATCTTATTTAGCAGCCTCCTGTGCAGCACTTCGTCAAAGGCCATCTGGAAATCCAAATAGATCATGTCTGCTGGCTTTCCTTTGTCTAACTTGCTCATTACCTCCTCAAAGAATTCAAACAGATTTGACAGACATGACTTTACCTTGATAAAGCCATGCTGACTCAGCCCTATTTTATCATGTACTTTTAAGTACTCCCCAATCTCATCCTTAATAGTGGACTTTAAAGTCTTATGAATGACCGAAGTCAGGCTAACTGGCCTATCTTAAATGGTGGTGTTACATCAGCCATTTTCCAGTCCTCTGGGACACTCCTGATTCCAGTGATTCCTGAAGGATCACCACCAAAGCCTCTACAATCTCCTCAGCTACCTCCTTCAGAACTCTAGGGTGTAGCCCATCTAGTCTAGGTGATTTATCCACCTTCACACCTTTCAGTTTCCCCAGCACCTTCTCCTTAGTATCTGTCAAATGCATATGTTCCCATGAAATTGGTATAAAACACTGTTCTAGAGAGAATCTGCTGTCCAATCAGGTGCTACGTTTTAGTGGAGCTATCACTTCTGTCCTATGATATTAAAGTAGATAATTGAATGTACTGTTTCTGTTGCATATGCAGCAGATTGAAACCTTAAAGTCAGCTTTTTTAGTTTTCAAATAAATTTCTGAGCAACGTTCCTATAAATCCTAGAAATTCAATATTTTAAACCTCTCTTTCTAATTTATTCCTCAAATCAGAACAAATGCAAACGTGTAAAGTATAGACACAATACGGGTAAACGTATTGACCTGGATTTCCTGATGGCCAGATAATAAGTCAAAGTTGTACATCCCAGATAAAGCAGAATCAGGAAGAATTGTGCAGGTAATTGAGGATTCCACTGGGCAGTTCCCATATTCTGGAACCCATTTATTCATATAAGTATCCATTTAAATCAGATATAAAGAGACCAAAGCTGTTCACAATATTCGTGGTGTGATCCGGTTCGTGCCTTGTATAGCTTTAGCAAGGCCTATCTATTTTTATGGTCTGTTGCCATTGAAATAAACCCCAACAGTTTATTTGCCCTTTCTATAACCCACTGAACTTAATTGAAAGTTGAGATTCATGCAAAAAGTCCCCAAAATCTCCCCGTGTTGTGCTTTCTGCAGTCTTTCCCATTTAAGTAATATTCAGCTCTTTAAGGTTTTGGAGTAGATCTGTAGCTCGGGTTGTGGGTGTTGAGGTTGGTTGGCTCGCCGAGCTGGTTTGTTGTTCCGCAGACGTTTCATTACCGTGCTTGGTAACATCCTCAGTGCAGCCTCTGATGAAGCATCGGTGTGTTTTCCCGCCTGGTTTTTAATCTCTGGGGTCCATTGCGATGGATTGCCGCACTTCCAAGTTTCCTCCGTAGTGGAATGTATATGGGGTAGAGTTCAATGTGTTTATTAATAGCATGCTTCATGGAGTGCCATGCTTCCAGGAATTCTCGTGCTTGTCTCTGCCTAGCCTGTCCCAGGATCTTGGTGTTGTCCCAGTCGAAGTCGTGGCTCTCCTTGTCCACGTGGATTGAGATGAGTGAGTATTGGTCGTGTCTTTTTGTAGCCAGTTGGTGTTCATGTACGCTTGTTGTTAGTTTCCTTCCTGTTTGTCCGATGTAGTGTTTCTCGCAGTCTCTGCAGGGTATCTTGCAGATGACATTGGTCCTGTCCATGGCGGGGAGTGGGTCTTTAGTTCGGGTGAGCACTTGTCGTAGGGTTGATGTGGGCTTGTGTGCCACTCTGATGCCCAGCGGTCGTAGAAGTCTTGTGAGTTCTGACGTGTTCCTGATGTAGGGTAGTGTGATGACTGTCTCGGGGTGTGTAGAATCTTTCTGATGCTGTTCCTGTAGGCATCTAGTAACCAAACCAGCACACACAAACGAAGCTGCGTGCAAACACTATTTAAAAGGGCACCAACACACTGCAGCAACGTAGAACTACGCCAAGAGGAGGAGGAATACCTCTTCCAAGTCTTCAAGGATAATGGATATCCAAAGAACTGGGTCAGGAGATGCCTACAGGAACAGCATCAGAAAGATTCTACACACCCCGAGACAGTCATCACACTACCCTACATCAGGAACACGTCAGAACTCACCACAAGACTTCTACGACCGCTGGGCATCAGAGTGGCACACAAGCCCACATCAACCCTACGACAAGTGCTCACCCGAACTAAAGACCCACTCCCCGCCATGGACAGGACCAATGTCATCTGCAAGATCCCCTGCAGAGACTGCGAGAAACACTACATCGGACAAACAGGAAGGAAACTAACAACAAGCGTACATGAACACCAACTGGCTACAAAAAGACACGACCAATACTCACTCATCTCAATCCACGTGGACAAGGAGAGCCACGACTTCGACTGGGACAACACCAAGATCCTGGGACAGGCTAGGCAGAGACAAATTGAACTTGACCCCATATACATTCCACTACGGAGGAAACTCGGAAGTGAGGCAATCCATCGCAATGGACCCCAGAGTTTAAAAACCAGGCGGGAAAACACACCGACGCTTCATCAGAGGCTGCACTGAGGATGTTACCAAGCATGGTAACGAAACGTCTGCGGAACAACAAACCAGCTCGGCGAGCCAACCAACCTCAATATTCAGCTCTTATATTATTCCTGCCAAAGTGTAGTACTTCATTTTACCACAGGATATTCCATCTGCCAACTTCTTACCCTTTCACTTAACCTGTCTAAATTCCTCTGTCGTTTTCTTCAAGCTGTGCGATCAAGCAGCCAAGCTGAGGCTCTGAGCACAAATCAATGTGCCAACACATTAACTTCTAGCTTCTCCAGCCACCTCAGAGGTCCATGCAACAGCTAGAGAAACTAGACTGAACATAGCCCCCTCTGGATTCCTTCCGTCATCCTTATTACTTGCCTTCTCGCTTATTTTGTGTCATTTTTGAACTTACCAATTAGTATCTTCACTGCTCTGATCCAAATCATTAATAAATTTTGGACATAATTGTGGCCCTCGTACTGTTTCCTATAGTTCCACTAGTCATAGGTTTCCATCCTGAATTTGCCTACTTTATCCCAATTCTGTCCTGACACCCCCTCTGCCCTGGGACTGGATATCCTTTCTTCCCTTTCCTACTGATGTCACCATCCCCCTCAGTGACTGACACTGGCTCCTCTCCCCCAGGGAACCTGGCACACACACTCTAAATATGGCAAGTGACTGCTGTGAAAAAGTGGTCTCCTTACCCCACTTCTGACTATACTGCACTGCAGGGAACCTGTCGGATTTACATTATGGCTCCGCATTTTGAAAGGAGGCCCAAGCAAATTCTGTCAGAAATGTGGATTATAAGGAACAAAATGGATATCTGACTGTGATTGCCAAACCTTGGAAAATCTGGTCCATTATTTTGATTACTGCTGACAGCCCAAAATGCGAAACACTGGAAAATAATACTTGTAAACATGCACTGCAGTATTTCAACAATGGAATTTATTCCAAAGCATGTACTGAGTTTCAAAAAAACAAATGCAAAATATTTTTCTGCAAATCTGAAATAAAAGTAGAAAATGCTGATAACACTCAACAGGTTAAGCAGCTTCTTGAAAAGGTTAGAAACTATACATGTTTTGAAAGAACTTGAAGAATTTCTGATTTGTCTTAAGTTTATTTTTTAAATTTATTAGATGTGGGTGTCACTGGCAGGACCAGTATTCATTGCCCACCTGTAATTGCCCAGAGAGCAGTTAAGAGTCAACCACATTGCTGTCTGGAGTCACATGAAGGCCAGAGCCCTTCCCTAAAGGGCACTAGTCGGCAATGATTTCGTGGTCATCATTAAAATCTTATTTCCAGATTATTTTTGAATTCACATTCCACCAACTGCAAGGCAGGCTTCGAACCCTGGTCCCCAAAACGTTCCCTGGGTCTCTGTATTAATAGACCGGCAATAATGGCACTAAGCCAGTCTCTATCCTGTGTAGTTGTTTTGTGTATTTTATGTACACTGGACTTATTGTACACTAAGTTTTCTAAAGTCATGACAGCTTTGTTTGTTTTTTGCAGCCTGGAGCTCCTAGTCAGCCACTATCTCCATTACTGAAACATTGTGCTTCAGTGCTGGAGACTGTTGTGAAAACAGTACCAGGACTATTAGAAGCTGCCTTTCTAATGGCCAAAGTTAAATACTTAGCAGGTATTTATATTGTACTGTGAATTGAATAAAACTCATATTTTTAATGTAACCTGTTCACTGCAAGAACAATGATTTTGTAAATCATGAAGCATGTCCCTATATTTTTAAATCTATAACTCAAGGGATTAACAGGATACTCAAAGATAAGAACATAGACATTTTGTTTGTTATAAATATCTGTACAATTATGATATATTGAGAATTTTATTGTCTTTTGTTCCTGGAATTTTTAAAAAAGCAGGAAAAGTACTGGTCAGCTTTAAAGAACTTGTAACTGAGAAGTCATCTTTCAGAAATAGTTACAAGAAAGGATAACATAGGATTATTTGTGCAATTGGCATGACAAGTTCAGAATTTATGACTGAAAATGTTACAGCTTGAACTGGATTAAATCTTCCACTGTTGTTGCATTTTCTTATTTAAAAGGTGATGTTGACGCTGCCCAATGCAATCTGCAGCATTGCTTAGAACAGAATCCTTCATATGCTGATGCACATCTCCTGATGGCTCAAGTTTACCTGTCTCAAGAAAATTTTAAACTCTGCTCACATTCTCTGGAACTATGTTTGAGTTATAATTTTGAGGTAAATTTAATTGCATTCACTGGATAACATAAGATTTTTGATTAAATTGTAGTTGTAGTTTTTTAAAATTGTAATTTATTCTTCAATTTTTAGTTTTAATCTGACTTTTATCCTAAAACACAGTTTTATTTAATTCATGATTTCTTTTTCACTGAATTTTACTGCATGTTTATTAAATTCTATTACTTAGACTTTCTACTTATCCATGACAGTTTAGCTAATTGCATCATTACAGGGCTATTGACCGCCATAGGGTTCTGTCTCTGAACCGAGATGATTTACTGGCTTGAGCAATTTGATGTTGTCAGGCACTGTCTCTGTTCTCGTGGGGTATCTGTCTGAAGGGAGCTTGAGATATGCATGCTGCAGTCCTCTGTGGTCATACTTTTGATTAAAGATAGGGAAGGGAAGGTAAAAATCCTTATTTTGAAAAGCAACACCTAAGTTTGCGTAACTGATCGCATTGGCTTATTGATATTTAAATTAAATAGCTATTCTGCAGCTAGCCAAATCATGATTACTTAGACCTATACAATGGGCAGAACATTTAGCTCTCAATGGGGCCAGCATGGAATTGCATATGCATAGAAATTTATGCTGCCAGCTGGCATGCTGGTTTGCCAGCATAATTTGGTGCATGTGCCATCCTCTAGGCAAGGAAACGTGCGGCTCTATTAGGGGAGGGGGGGGTGGTCGTGGGAGTTGTTGCTATTCCCCTCTAGGACTTTTCAACAAGAATGGATAACCAATTAACAGGAATTAAAGACCAATAGAGGCCTTTGTCATAGGTTGAAAGGATTTTTTTCACTTGGATTCCAATGCCCCCACCCCCTCCTGAGATATCAGAGAGTTGGCCAGCTGCCTGGGGATAGGTTTCGAGTGGCATTCTATGGAGCATCAGTACACCAGGCTTGTCTGCCTAACCTTTCTTCCTTGCATAATGGTGACTAGATTCTCAGTCTTAAGTTCATTTAAAATTTCAAGTTAAAGAACAGCACTTTCACCTTAGGGCACCTTGTCTCTTCTTTAGTGCAAGAGAACTTCTTATTGATCCTCTAGCTTTGACCGACTATCCATTGTCCTATCAACTGGATAGCAAACCTCCTGGAATAACATTGCTTGTTGACTGTTTCCCACACTTTGCCGGGTTGTGATCCCCATTTGATTCCAATGTTTGGGTCCTACCTCAAAATTCTGTGTGATGTTAATCCTTGTCAGGCAACTACCTAAAATCCTTCAGAAGACTTTACAGTCTAACTTTCACAATGATGTGTGAATTCGCCTTCAAACTGCTATCTGTGAGGCAATGTTGTCTAACCTTGATATCGTTTTGTACTTATTTTATGTTTGTACCCAATTTGCTTCTTTCACTATTCAGTGGGATACCATAGCATAAAGTTCCAAACCTTAATTAGAACATCCAATAACCTCCCAACTCCAGTAGAAAAGCTTGACTTTCTTACCTCTGTTTTAATAACTGTCATACTGCAACTTTGTTAATGTTTTCAAAATTGTTTAAATTTATTTCTTCTTGAAATGTAGTGTAAACTTTTAAGTCACTGATCAAACATATTCCCTCCCTAAGGGAATTATGTGTCTACCTAGAGCACGTGACTGCAATAATTCAAGAAGACAGCTCACCAGTACCTTCTCAAGGGCAGCTAGGGACTGGCAATAAATGTTGGCCAACCAGTGATGCCCAAGTCCCATGAGTGAATAATTTAGTATATAATGATAATGGTTTCAGACAGGATTAGACATTTGGTCTATTTAGCCTACCACTGCTGATGAAATTTATCAAAGCTACACTTGTTTCATATCTTTTATTAGCCAAAGAAGTCTTTCTAGGACTGCTGTAGTTCTTATTGTGCTCCTACAATAAGTTTATAATGGAAGTTCTAGGATGCCAAACCAATAATGATGAAAGAACTGTAATTGTTTGTTGAAGTCAGAACAGTGCACAGTTTAGAGGAGAACATGGAGTTGTTGATGTTTGCATAACGTTGTTATACTTATCCTTCTTGGAGTGAGGATTACAGCTGGGAAGGGCTGTTAGAGTAACCTTGCATAATTAGCACAGTGCATCCCTTTCATTTGCACATAATTGTGCTGGTGCTAGAGAGTACAGTTATTAAGGCACTGATCAAACAAATTCTCTGTCCTAGATAGTGCCATGTATTTTGAGTGTGGTCTGATCAATTCCATTGTCCTATGATCTTTCACAATTTATTATACGTTTCAATATGGGCAAAGTCTTTCTTTGGATATTACGTACAGTAAAATACCCATCCCCACCCCCACATTGGATCTGCTTATTGGTCGGTATTATTTTTATTTTATTTTATTTCATTCCTGCTTCTTTTGAAGGTTTGAATCTAGCCAAACTGCTTGATCAAGATAAGTTTTCTATTAGCGCTAGTGTTCCACTAACAAGTCTGACTATTCTCCTGTATTGGCTGATCATTTGTTCCTGGTTTCAAACAGACTTTCATTTCCAGTAGAGGATGAATAATGGAAATCATGCATGTTTTGACCAGATGCCCTTTTATTGTCTTTAAAAAAAATTCTTTTACACTAAATAGAAGTTTGAATGCACAATTAAAGATTTAGTAGATTGCATGGATAATAGATGAAAATCAACTGAAAAACAAAGTAGTCAAAGAAGGCGCTTTACTTGGGAAGGTAGTTTTAAATTTTAAGCTTCCTTTAAATTCCAGGACATAGTTTTTTTTTAAATCATGAAGGAATTATAGGATTGAAGTCTTTTAAACAGTGGTCAGTACCATTTTCATCTCCTCGGTTAGTGAAACAGTTTGCTCCTATATGTTGTAAGATGTAGATAGCATTCAGACTTTGATGCAGAGGCAAGTAACGATCCCTCCACACAAGTGTAGGCAATGGTGATTTCTGCGAAGGCATGTAACCATTTCCTGTCATTTCAATGGCAGTACCATTGCTGAATCCACCAACATCAACATCCTGAGATAACCAGGTGTAGAGCTGGATGAACACAGCAGACCAAGCAGCATCAGAGGAGCAGGAAGGCCGACATTTCGGGCCCAGACCCTTCTTCAGAAAAAAAGAGTCTAGGCCCGAAACGTTGGCCTTCCTGTTCCTCTGATGCTGCTTGGCCTGCCTGTGTTCATCCAGCTCTACACCTTGTAATCTCAGATTCTCCAGCATCTGCAGTTCCTACTATCTCTGAAGCAACATCAACATCCTGGGGTTTTGTTAAATAAAAATTAACTAGATCTTTTGTCTAAATACTGTGGCTATAGGTATAGATCAAAGGCAGAGAATTATGTGGTGAATAATTCATTTAATTCTCCAAAGCCTGTTCACTATCTACAAGGCAAGGTCAGGAATGTGATTGAATACTCTCCATTTTTCAAGGTGAGTACACCTCAAGAAGCTGACCACTATCCAGGGAAAAGCAGCCAGCTTGATCAGCACCCCATTTTACTGCATAAACATTGACTCCCTCCCACACCAAGTCACACTGGCAGCTGAGTGTACCATCTATAACAGACACTGCAGCAACTCGCCCTGGCTGTTTTGACAACACTTCTCAAATCCACAAACTTAACTACCTTGGAGGAGACAGGCAGCAAACACTTGGGTCAGCTCACTACCAAAAAGCTCCCCTCCCAGTTACATACCACCGTAATTTGGATTGATATTGTACTTCCTTCACTGTCATGGATCAAAGTCCTTGTTCTCTCCCAGACAACCCTGTGGGTGTCCTAACATCACGTGGACTAACAGTATGAGAATGGGCTATAAATGCTGATGTTATCAACAATATTTAAATCCTTTGAACAAGTTGAAAAATAAGCTCTTTTCAGTATGTACACATGTTGCAAAGTCTCAGCAAATAAGCTGAAAACAACAAGAGGGCTTTGATTTTGTCCCTTACTTAAAATGATTTTCCCCTTTCAGATTCGTGAGCATCCCCTGTATCACTTGATTAGAGCTCAAACTCAGAAGAAAATGGGTGATATTCAGGAAGCCATTAAAACCTTGAAGATTGCTGCAGGTTTGCCTGCAATGAGGAAAACAGGAAGTACATCCAAATCAAAGGGCAAAAAAATTGAATTTAGTGCAACTGATCGTGTTTCTGTTTTTCTGGAGCTAGCGGAGGCTCACCGCATGAATGGAGAACAGGTAATGAAATAAGTTACATTTTTCATGCCTTCCGTTTATGCTTTTCTTGCTTCTGAACTTGACTATTCCAAAACTATCCTTGCTAATTTCCCACATTCTACCCACCACAATTTTGATGTCAACTGAACCTTTTTGCTGCCTATTTCATAACTTGCTCCTAGTCACTCCTTATGCAGTCTACTCCACATTGGTTCCCAATCAAGCAACATCTAGATACTAAAATTCTAATTCTTGTCTCAAATTCCTCCATGGTCTAGCCTAACTTTCTGCCTGTAATCTCTTTCAGCTCAACAGTCCCCTGAGATATCTGTATTAATGTAATTCTGTGTCCTCTTCAAAGCCCCCATTTTAATTGTTCCACCATTGGAAGTTGTAGCCAACCCTAAGCTTTGGAGTTCCCCTCCCCCACCTCTCTGCCTCTATGTCACTTTCCTCCTTTAAGAATTCCTTTTAGAACCTATCATTTTGATTGTGCTTTTGGTCATCTCACCTAACATCTTACGTGGCTTGGTGCCATATTTTACTTTCTCATGCTCTTGTGAAATGCCTTCAGGTTTTGTATGATTATTTGTTGTAGGACATATATTTTAACATGGAGGATTGATTTATAAATGTGTATCTTATAAAAGTATTATTCAAATTTTGCCTGGTTATAATTTCTAATATGGTAAACTTAACTTCATGGGTGCTGGGAATTAGCCTTTTTTTTTTTGAACAGAAATGTCATTAACTAGCTACTCTGCAGATCATGCTGAGAATCAGCACAATACGGGGGGCATGTACATTACTTGCATCTGTTTTACTAATAAATTTTGCATGTAATATATGTTGATGTTTCTAATAACAATAGAAAAGCATTTGTTTTTGTCCAGCATGAAGCTGCCAAAGTGATGCAAGATGCCATCAATGAATTTTCGGGCACCTCTGAAGAGTTACGTGTTACAATTGCTAATGCAGACCTTGCTGTTGTACGTGGGGATATAGAGCTGGCTCTTGGTATGTTGCGGAATGTTACACCTGAGCAACCTTATTTTATTCAAGCAAAAGAAAAGATGGCTGCCATATACTTAAACCAGAGGAAAGATAAACAGTTATATGCAAGCTGCTACAGGTGAAAGAATTTTCTTTTACAGACTGTGCAACATTTCTCTTATTTGTTTGTAATATATTGAAAGTGGAAAATTACTTCACTTGTAAGTAACATTGAAGGTGACGTTAACTGAACAGTGATCAACTAGTTGTGTGACAGCCCCAATGCAGTTGTCCTTTGTGGCAGTTGGAAGTTTTATAATCGAAGGGTAAAAGGGTAGACAAATGGAATGTTGACCTTTATTTAAAAGTGAATGGAGAACAAAGGAAGGTAATTTTGCTAAAACTTGACAAGGTACCAGTCAGATCACATCTGAAATATCGTGAATAGTTTTAGGCTCCTTATCTAAATTGAGATGTATTGGCATTGGAGGCAGTCCAGAGAAGGTTCGCTAGTCTGAAACCAGATATGGAGGGAATGTCTTATGAGGAAAGGTTGAGTAGGTTGGGCTTGTACTATAGAATTTGTAAGAATCAAAGGTGACCTTATTGGCGCACACAAGGTTCTTAGGGAACTTGACAGGGTAGATGCGAAAAGGTTGTTTCACTTGTGGGAGCATGTAGGATCAGAGAGGGGTCACATATTTGATACTGAAGTGAGGAGGAATTTCTTCTCTTGGAGGGTAGTGAATCTGGAATTCTTTATCGCAGAGGGTTATTGAGACTGGGTCATCAAGTATATTCAAAGCTGAGATTGACAGATTTTTAATCAATAAAATGGAGTTGAGGATTAGCAAATCATCCATGAGCTAATTGAATGGCCAAGCTGATGCAATGGGCTAAATGGCTGCCTTCTACTCCTATGTCTTTTGGTCTTGTAGAAACTCTCCCTGTTGAGCAGGAAGCTAACTTCAAGCACATGAAACCCACATGCTTAATGGCAAAAATCACCTAAGAACCTCGCACCTTTGCTCACTTCACAAACACTAGTGAAATCTTATAATTGATCTTTTTTCAACAGGGCAGAAAAAACCACCATTGGACACCACTGTTCTTTCTTCACTCCATTCAGAGAAAAGTGATTCACTGTCCTCACCCACTAACTTGAATGACAATCCTGGCTGATGGGAGAGGGACAGCAGAATTCACCTGCATTGCACTCAACTGCTCTTTGCTCAGAAAGTTTACCCACCCATCTGTTTGTCCCATCATCTCAACCAGTTACTCTTCCCCTTTGTTCCACGTTATCCTCTCGTCCTTTTCTGTTCCCCCTTCTGTCTCTGTGTTTAATCATATTCCTGATGCACTTCTCTTTTCTATTTTCACCCACTTCCCTTCCACTCATTTCCTGTTTCCTTCTCCGTTTCTATTTGTAACAGGCTTCCTAATTATGCCTTTAATTTTGTGTTGATCCAAGTCAAATGTCACAGGAACTTGTCTAATAAAACTCATAAAATGTTCTTCATTGAAGAAGCACAATGACATTTCCTTATCGTACAATTTATATGGTATATGGATGAAGGTACATTAGGATGAATCCGATAAAACTAATTTTAAGTATGATTTTACGTTTGTTCGCAGAGACTTGGTTGACAAACTTCCTGGACCCCACACCTATCTTTTGTTAGGTGATGCCTACATGAATATTCAAGAGGTGAAAAATTTATTATTTTTTCAACTAAATTTCTGATGCCATGATCAATTGATGAATAGAATTGTTATTTTCAAAAAAAATAGGGCTGGGTATTTTCTGTCAACTTTTCCATTTCAAACTTCTACGTCAGCAAAATAATAGAAGCAGCCTATCTAAATTTGTCAAGTAATGATTGCTTCCCCACCTCTCCCACACCCAACTCAAAATTAGTGGTAGTGTAGTATATTTCTAGTGTAATTTGTACTGTACTTTTGCGCCATATATTGTTATGGTACAGAGATAGTTGCGGTTCCACAAAATACTTGAGAGATTACATGCACCTGAAAGAGTTTATACAGAAGTTATGAAATGTATATGGAATTTGAGGGGAGACTAATGTATGTGCCAGTCTGAGTACATAATCTAGTGCAAGTGAAGCATAGTATAATTTAACACTGTTATAAATTTATTTTTCTTTTTTAGAAATTAAAATACTGTGAAACTGATGATGTTTTCTATTCCATTGCAGCCTGAAAAAGCCATTGATATATATGAACAAGCTCTAAAGAAAAATCCAAGGGATGGAACTTTGGCTAGCAAGATTGGAACAGCACTTGTTAAAACACATAATTACAATAAGGTCAGTTATAAGACATTTTCTATTTTCAACCAAAAGCTGCCTTAGTGAGACCACACGTGGAGGATTGTGTGAAATTTTGGTCTACGTTCATAGAAATAGCGCAGCAAAAGTTCACCAACCCATATCCTGAGATGGAGAGGATGGCCTATGAGGCAAAATTAAATAAATTGCCTCTTTATTCTCTGGAATTTAAAAAATGAAAGGTGATCTCATTCAAACATACTAAATTCCTGTAGAATTTGAGATTGTGGATGCAGAAAGGATGTTTCCCCTGTCTGGGGTGAGGTTCTTGGACCAGTGAACAAAGCCTCAAAATAAGGAACCAGTCATTTAGGACTGAGATGAGAAGGAGTTTATTCATTCGGAGGGACTTAACTCTGGAATTCTCTGCCACTGTGAAGGTTCGGTCATTTAAGTATATTCAAAATTGAGATTGATAGTTATCTACATACTAAAAACATTGAGAAATTAGCAATGGTGCAGGGAATACTGTTAAAGTAGAATATTAAGCATGATCTCACTGAATGATGGAATGGCCTCAATTGCCCGATGCCTATTTCTCTTCCTAGTTTTTATATAGTAATAATATTCCTATTTTAAACTATGCTGTTTATAATTATTCAGTTGTTCCTAATAGTGTAATTTGTGTAAAATAGTAAATTGCTTCCTGATCAAACTGCTATTCCTAGGAATACAGGACTTATGAGTACAAGTAGGCCTTTCAGCTATTCAAGCTTAAGATAACAAGGCGTGGAGCTGGATGAACACAGCAGGCCAGGCAGCATCAGAGGAGCAGGAAAGCTGATATTTTGGGTCTGGACCCTTCTTCAGAAATGGGGGAGGGCAACGGGTGCTGAAATAAATAGAGAAAGGGGGAGGCGATGATAGAAGGCGGATAGAGGAGCAGATAGGTGGAGAGAAGACAGACAGGTAAAGGAGGCAGGATGAAGTCAGTACAGGTGAGTGTAGGTAGGGAGTTGGGATGGGGGTTGGTCAGTGAGGTGGGAGGAGCGGATAGGTGGGAGAAAAGACGGACGGGTCAAGGAGGCAGGGACGAGAGGGGCTGGTCTTGGGATGAGGTTGCAGGTAGGGAGATTTTGAAGCTAGTAAAGTCCACATTGAGGCCATTGGGCTGCAGGGTTCCCATGCAGAATATGAGGTGCTGTTCCTCCAGCCTTCGGGTGGCATCATTGTGGCACTGGAGGAGGCCCAGGATGGATATGTCATCCAAGGAGTGGGAGGGGGAGTTGAAGTGGTTTGCGACTGGAAGGTGTTGTCGCCTCCCCCTCTCTCTATTTATTTGAGAGCCCCCTTCCCCTCCCCCATTTCTGAAGAAGGGTCTAGACCCAAAACGTCAGCTTTCCTGCTCCTCTGATGCTGCCTTGCCTGCTGTGTTCATCCAGCTTCACACCTTGTTATCTCAGACTCCAGCATCGGCAGTTCCTACTATCTCTGAGTGAGCTATTCAAGCTTGTTGTGCCATCCAATAACTTCATGGTTGATTTGATGTAGTGTCTACTCTGTTTTCCTGTCTGGCCATCATAACCCTTGGCTGTCAAAAATCTACCTAACTCAGCTTTGAACAAATCTACTGTTTTCTGACAAATAGCATTCCGCAGACTAACAGTGCTCCAAGAAGAAAAATATTCTCCCTTACGCTGTCTTAAAAACGAGACCTCTTATTCTTTTCTAGTCTCCACCACATAAGGGAACACCTTTCTCGTAATTCATCCCAGCAAGACCATTCAGCATCTTATATATTTCGATAACATCATCTCTCGTTCTTGTAAACTCTAATGGACTTAAACCCTTCATCCCAGAAATGAGTCCCCTGAGCCTTTTCTGAACTGCTTCTAACACAGTGGAATAAGGGTCGAAAAACTGCACAGTGTTTCAGATGTTGTCTCACCAGGGCCCAAAACAATTGCACTCTACTCTGATATTCCAGTCCCCTTGCAATAATTGCTAACATTCCATTTATCTTCCTAATCACATGCTATCTCAACTCAGGTTGGGACTAGGAGCACTGCAGTATATCTCAGTGCACATTGTTTAGGGTTGGGAAGTAAGTGATCATGGTTTTCAGCCCTGGTCAATCTAGGATGCTCTTTCTATGCAAAGAAATTGGTTCCTATACTCAACATAAATCGCAGAATTGGCCGCCTAAAACCTACTAAAGTGGACAATCCGTACCGAGTACAGTTGTTGGTAATGCTCCAGCCATCCGAAGTTGGCAAGTTACATCAAGATCAAAATGGAGAGAGCAGGCCCATGACTCTTACTTTCTTCACTTCCAGAAAGACCCAGGAACAAAGAGGCTAATGTTGAGGGCAGCTTCTCATATACTGTCCAGCACCTAGACTGTAAAAACAGTAAAGTTGTAAGCAACTTACGGAACCAGAAGTTAGTGCCGAGATCAGACCACTTAAATGAAACATAATTGACACATACAGAGCTACTTTATCTTGTATATCTAAAACTGGAACTCCGGTATGGCCAGTACATTAATTTCTGGATATTGCTGTTTTATTTTAATTTTTTTTTCTCTCTGGGTTGTGAACATTTTCAAGAATACCTACTTGAAGGAGACAAAGTGACAGTCAGGTGAGATCACAAGCCATTTCAGATAATTTTTTCTCAAGCCGCTACTATCTGGTCCAATCCATCTGCAAATAATTTCCTCTGGGTGCAGAGATACCATCTGGATGTGACATACAAACAAGGGAAACATATACATTGCTGACATATTATTGAAAGTATAAGTACAAGGACATAAATTCTTTCAGATGCAATATGAAGCAGTAGCTGTCACACTCTGGAAGTCTTCAACCCAACAAAAACACTGAATTTTACCAGACAAGTGCCTTGTTCAAAACAAGAAAGCTCCTCAACAAGATACAACTCTCCATGTTTTGCAAATAGTGATGACAGAATGGCCTGAAACCGTCAAGGCTACAGCTGTTGCTGTAAGAGCATATTGGACAGCCCAAGATGGCCCAGAAATTGAGAGGAGAAATGCTAAAGTGTATCCGTACAAGCTACCAAAGAATTGAGTTGAATCTGAGGAAGGCAAGAAATATGCTTGGTCAGCAGAGCATGAGCAATGAAATCAAAGACCGCATCAACTCGTGCAGTGCTTGTTATGAGTACCAAGGTAAGCAAACTAGACATGCCTCTCAGACCAGGGATGAAGCTGGCAGTGGACCTCTTCACTCTCACAGGAACTGATTATCTTGTCTCTGCAAACCACTATTATAACCAGCTAACTTCACTGACTATCTGTGGGATTGTAGAATTCCGAAAAGCATACTTTAGCCTTTACACTATCCTTGACATCATAATGATGCCAGTTCATTACTGAAGAATTCAGCTGTTTCATAAAGGATTGGAAATTCAACACGACGTGTCATCTCCACACTATCGCCAGTCAAATGGAAAGGCTGCATTGGAAGTTGCCAACAGAATCATAAACAAATTGAACAAATCCAACATAGATCTCTACAAGGCAGTTCTAGGGTGAACAAATACACCTACTGAAGCCAGGAAGCATAGTCCAGCTCAAAGACTAATATCACTCATGTCCATCTGCTTTGCCTGTTGCAAAAAAGCTACTGAAGCCAGCAGTAACAACATATCTGAGTGACAAAATCATGGTGAAATTGCAAAAAGGCTCATTTAGTTTTGACACCGCTGCCAAACCATTGCCAGAGTTGAGCATCGGAGAGCAAATCAGAGTACAAGCCTTCATCACTTTCAACAATTGAGACCTATATGGAGCAGTTGTTAATTCAGTTGCATACCGTGAAAGTGAACAACCAGATAAATTGCAATCACAGGCATGTACGCACCACTGGAGAAGCTCTTCCTCAACTGTATGTAGTTAGTCCAGAAAGTGTGACCTCAACATCTGTGCAGACCACAGATTGACTAGAAGTTCATGTCATCTCAACAGCAGAAATGGAACAACAATACGTACCATGTGATTCAATCGATTCTCTGGCCTTTTTTCCAAGAATGGGAATTATTACTGATGACCTGGCTACTTTTGTTCCTGAATGAAGATCAGAAGAACAGATCATCAAGTCATTATCTCAACTGCTGTTTGTAGGAGTTTGCTGGATACAAATTAGTTGTCACATTTCTAGCATTACAATACTGACTAGGCTTCAAATACTTACTTGGCTATAAAAATGCTTTGAGATGCCTGGTATTCATGAAAAGCAGTATATGAATGTAAGTCTTTCTTTCATTCTTAATTTTTCTTCAAAGGCAATTAATTATTATGAAGCAGCTTTGAAGACTGGCCAACAGAATTTCCTTCGTTATGACTTAGCTGAACTCTTGCTTAAGCTTCGACAGTATGAGAAGGCAGAAAAGATCCTACTGCAGTCATTAGAACATGATTATGGTATGAAATTTTTATGTGGGAGTTACCTGGTTCACTATCATTAGAATTTAGTATTAAAAAGAAATTATTTAATATATTTAACTGTATAAGTAGTAAACAATGATGTAGTCAATCTGCAGTTAAAAGTACCTGTTACAGGAACTGCCCCATCTTTCAAATAAGATGAAAATCATGTAAATTCAGGGTGATTCACAACACTGATTTTATACCAAATTCGCTAGTTGAAAAGCCATCCCATAATTTAGATAAAATGCTAGATTAACAAGCAGTTCATTTGTTAGACAGTAATAACTATTAAGTAATGAATAACCTGTTGTGTTCATGATATTCTTTTTGATGATTTGTTGCTGTATCATACAAAAATAGAAACTGTCGAGAAAGATAGTTCTCTTGCAAATAGGCTAAGTAGGTGGTTTTAAAAAAAAGGAAAAATCACAAAGGAACATGGAATAAACAACATTGAATAAAATTTACAGTACACAAATTATCTCTTCATGCAATTTTAAAAAAATGAATTTTTTTACGTAATTCAAATTTTCAATCTTTTACAGTAAGTGATCTTCAAGCTTTGATGGAAGATGCACGATATTTAATGCTTCTGGCAAAAATATATAGTAAGAAAGAGAAGATAGATGATGCCATCCTTGCATTGCAGAGGGTGAATAGACTTTCCCTTTGTTGTTTGTTTGAGTATTGAATGGTAAATTATGCTTTCAAAAGTTTCACTTTGTAAAAAAACCTGTAAAGTCAGTCTGTGCATTGAAATTAATATCATAATTTTGCTTTGCTCAATTTAGAATGCACTATTAGAGTGCACAATGTCCTCACTAAAATTTAATCATGAAAAAATTACATGTATGCACAATATCTAACTTTTGTACATTGTAGTTGCGGTAGATATCATTGAATTATACAGCTCAATTGGAGACCCATTGATCTATTGTGCCTGTTTTGCTTTTTCTTTGAAGATCTAATCACTTGCCTCACTCGCGCGTTCTTTTCTTATACTTTTCGAATTCACTTTTGATAGTTACTATTAAATCTACTTTCTCCAATCTTTCATGATGCGGAGGTGCTGGTGTTTGGCTGGGGTGGACAGTCAGAAGTCACATGACACCAGGTTATAATGAAACAGGTTTATTTGAAATTACAAGTTTTCGAAGCACAGCCCCTTCATCAGGTGAAGTGTGAGAGAAGAGCATGCAGATACAGAATTTGTAGGTAGAGACATCGATGGCAGAGATGTGGTGTGAGTGGAGTGTTGAATAATAAGTCTCTGCAGGTGACCAAGAGTGTTAGATGGTGTGAGTAGCTGAATAACAAACAAAGGGATGACCTATAAATCCGATTAAATGAGGCAGAGAGATAATTACAAAAAAATTAAAAATAAGATGGCATAGGAGACAAACTAAATGACTGGAATAACATGATGGGTATAAGAGTCTCATGCCGAGGGTCTGCCCAAAGTAATATGTAATCCAAAACTGTACAAACTAATTAAGGTAGAGAGCTCATAACAATTTATCAAAGCGATGGTGTCAAAACAGGACAGTAAGGAAGGTTTTACATGCGCAGCAACAGTGTGGTGGGGTAACATGCAGTGCGACATGAACCCAAGATCACGGTAGAGGCTGTCCTCATGGGTACAGAACTTGGCTAATAGTTTCTGCTTGGCAATTCTGCGTTGTTGTGTATTTCAGAGGACGCTTACACAAAGATCGGAGGCTGAATGTCCTTGACCGCTGACGTGCTCCCCTACTGGGAGGGTACATTCCTGTTTGGCGATTGTTGCGCAGAGTCCATTCTTTTATTGTCATAGTGTCTGCATGGTCTCGCCAATATACCATGCCTCGGAACATCCTTCCCTGCAGCATATGAGACAGACAACATTGGCCGAGCCACATGAATATCTGCTGTGTACGTGGTGGGTGGTGTTCCCACGTGTGATAGTAGTATCCATGTCAGTGATGTGACATGTCTTGCAGAGTTTGCCATGGCAGGGTTGTGTGGTGTCCCAGCTGGGGAACACCTCAGCAGTCAAGGACATTCAGCCTCTGATCTTCGGGTAGGTGTCCTCCAAGGTAAACCTTGAGATACACAACAACGGAGAATCGCTGAGCAGAAAATGACAGACAAGTTCCGTACCCATGATGATGGCCACAACCATGATTTGGTGTTCATGTTGTGCTACATGTGACCCCACCGCACTGTCCTGTATCTGTAAAACCTTCCTTACTGTCCTGTTTTGACGCCATCTCCTTGATAAATTGTTATGATCTCTTTACCTTAATTAGTTTGTACAGTTTTGGATTACGTATTACTTTGGTTAGACCCTCAGCATGCGACTCTTAAACTTACCATGTTATTCCAGTCACTTGGTTTGTCTCCAGCACCACCCCATTTTGAATTTTTTGTAATAATCTCTCTGCCTCAATTCATCGGATTATAGGTCATTACTTCGCATGTTATTCAGCTGTTGACACTTTACTCACACCATCTAACACCCTTGGTCACCTGCAGAGACTTATTATTCGATACTCCACTCACACCAGTTGTATGATCTATTGATCTCTCTGCCTACAAATTCTGTGTCCGCGTGTTCTTCTCTCACACTTCACCTGATGAAGGGGCTGCGCTCCGAAAGCTTGTGATTTCAAATAAACCTATAATCTGATGTTGTGCGACTTCTGACTTTGCCCAACTTTTCAGGCAGTGCAATCCAAATCACCATAAATTAATGTGGAAAATCTGTCTCTTCACCCACCTACTTTTCATTTGTAAAATTACATTAAACTGTGTCCTCAGCTGCTAGCCCTTCTGCCAGAAGGAGTAATTTCTTTTTTTCAATGTTTAGTAAAGTACATTATGATTTTAAATATCACAACACTGCTTAATGTAGAGATAACCAGCTGTAGAGCTGGATGA